AGTGGGACCCTGTGGACTCTTTAGGCCAGATGGGGGGGTGCTTCCTGGGGAACAGGCCCCAGCCCTCCCTGGTGCAAGAGGCAGGGCCCCCGTCTAGGAGGACATCCACTGCGTCTGGAGGGCCGAGCCTGGAGGGAGGCCCACCTCTGCCTCTGCTGGCCTGGCCCCCTCGCTGGCCGGAGCATGACCCCACGAGGCCTCTTCCCCCGCCCCAACCCAGTCGAGGCTGGGTGGCCTCCTCTCATGAAACAGCGGCAGCCCAAGCCACAAGGGGGCCCCTCACACGACAGCGTCCGCCCTCACAACTGCAGGAAATGGCCGCTGCTCCGCCCACTCTTTGGGAAACTGAGGCGCAGGCGCCCATTGCTGGCACCTGAAGGCCCCGGGCACCAGTGCCAGGTGGGCGGGGAGAGGGGCCTAGACTGCGTCTTGCCCCGGCCTCCTCCTCCTGGCTCACTCCCCAGGAATGTGTCCGGCCCCCCCCGCCCCCCACATCCCTTTCCTGTCCTTCCTGCCTTGAGCGGAAACCAGCTCAGATTTGGCCCAGGAGCCCAGGCGGAAGCCTCAGGGCTGGGGAGCCCGGGGAGGGGGGGGCGGGGCTGCCGCCTCTGCACAGAGCAGGGTGCACCTGCAGGCCCAGGTGTGACGGCCTCAGGTACCAGGTGGGTGCTGGCAGTGCTGGGCCGGTCTCTGCCTCTGCCCGGGCCAGGGGTCAGGCCCAAGAGGACCGGGGTGGGCTCCTTCCTAAGGCCATGCAGACATCCTGCCACACTGCCTGTGCCTTCCTTTCCCTGGAAATGCCCGTGTGCCAGGCACTGGCCCACTCAGTCCCCCAGCAGCCTTGGGGCCAGCCGGGCCAGGTGCCGCTGCACAGACGGAGGGAGAGGCTCGGAGACTCAGGACAGGCCCGGGCTGAGTGGGCACCGTGTCAGGGCCAGGTGTGCAACCCCGACGTCGCCCACCCTTCGGTCACTGCTGAGCCTGAGGGCCAGGAGGGGCTGCCAGGGCGAGCGGGCACCCCACCAGGGCTCAGAACCCTCTGTGATCGGGCTGCTGCTTCCGAGAGGCAGACCACCGGCCCGCTTCCTGGCCTGGAAGGCAGCCTGACCGTGCTCCTCCCCCAGTAAGGTCAGGAGGAAACGGCCAGGGGTGCCGGCCCCGCTGCCCAAACCAGCTGCTTCCTGAAGACTCTGCTCTGACCCGAGGCCCTGGCGGTGGCTGCAGCTGGTCCTCAACAGAAGGGGGCCAGAGCCTGGGCCCGGCACGGGGAGACAGCAGACCACGTGTCCTTCCTGTCCCTCCAGTCAGGTCTGGCCCCGGCACCCCACTGCCCTGTGTACCCTCTAGAGGGAGAAGTGTGGCCCTCACAGCTACACTCATGCCATCCAGCCTGCCTTCCCACCCCCACCCCCACTCTCCGGCCCAGACTGGCTGTGTCCCTCCGGGGACCCTCCCAGGCTAACGTCCTCGCTGCCGGCCCAGCCTGCCTCCACGGCAAGCCCATCCTAGGCCCCAGCCCCCACCCCTGGTCCTGAGCCATCAGGAGGTCAGCCCGAAGAGCCTTCTGAGGCCCCTTCCCAGGCCAGGGGTCAGGCACCAGGCCGGCAGGGTGGGCTGCAGCCCCAGTGCCAGGCTGTGCCCTGCGCGGCCGGCAGGGATTGTCTGCCACAGTTCCTGCCCCGCGTCCTTCCTCCGCGCTGGCCGAGGGCTGAGTGTTTGTTATTTGATCTCTATCCTCTCTCGGCCCTTCTACCAGGTGTCTGGGCTGCTGGGAAGAAACACTCTCCTCTTTCCCACGCTCCCCGACACATTTTAATGAATTAGCTGGAAGCCCCGCCCCCACTGCCCGCCTGCCTGCTCGCCCTCCCTCCCCCGCCTAGTGCCTTTAAGGTGGCCGCGGGCCTTGGCCCAGCTCTGGCCAGCCGCCTCTTCTGCGCTGCCCTCCCCAGGCCGCCCCACCCAGACCTTCCCAGCCCAAGTCCCGCAGGGCTCCCCAGGCTGCCCCGCCCCTGCCCACAGGGTTCCCCCACCAGCCACTGCTCGGCCCCTGAAGGAGGAGGGTCCCCAGAGGAAGAAGGGGCCCCTCTCCTACTCTGGCCTCCACCCACCACGGCCCTTCAGGGTGGCACCCCTGGGCTAGCGTCCTCAGAGCCACATAGGCAGGGCTGAGTCTGTTCCCTAGATCCCAGGTCAGGAGTTTCTCACTCAGAGACAATGAGCTGCTTATCAATCCAACACCGCCAGGAGCCCCACCCACAGCGGAGAGGGGCTTCCCTGGGCCACGGGTGGGGCCGCCCCCCCCCCCCCCCCCCGAGGCATTTGGAACAAATGTCCTCCTTTTGGACCATTCCTTCCGCCAACCCGGAGCCAGAGCTTGCTGGGAGCCCGCGAGCTGCAAGCCCCTCTTCCCCTCCGTCGCCCTCAGATGGGACAACTCCCAGGGTGTGGACCGGAGCGGCAGGGAACGAAACTGCCCTCCCAGCCGCGGCACAAAAGCACGAGCCACGGAATTCCATCAGCTCCCCGGGGATAGTGGGACCGGACCCCCACCAGAACCCCACAATGGCAGGCCCGGCTACACCTGTCTGACCCTCACACCGAGCCCCGGGTGGGGCAGGGGGCACCCTCAGGCTAGGCTCCTGTGGCTGCTCTGTCCCTGCGCAGGGCACCCAAACCACCGATTTCATGGCCCGTGGTGGCGGCCGTACGTTCCCACACTGAGCTCACAGGGCCCCTTTGTCTGCCCTCCCTGGAGCCTGCGCGGGTGTCAAAGGGACTTTTCTCCCAGGCTCTGCTCCCGGGCCCTACAAGGTCTCCAGATAGCCTTCGTCAGGTCGGGGGACCTGAACCCACCTGGGCTGGGGCCCATGAACCCACCACCTTCCGGGGATAGCCCTGGGCACGGTCCTGAGCCGGCCACGCGTTCTCGGAGCAGCCTCCCCTCCACGCCCGGCCCTGTTCCAGGCGGTGGGGTGGGGTGGGTGCTTGCCTCACCGGTCCCAGTCCTGCACGGGGGCACATGCTTACCCACTCTGAGGGGCACTGTCCACAGGCAAATATGGGCCCCAGTGGACAGTGCCTATGCCCTCTTCCCCTGTGCTGGGCAGATGCAGGAAAGGGGGTACTGGAGGTGGTCAGGGCCCTCCCCTCGAGGTGTTCACCATCCAGCAGGCCCCTTACTGGGCCCAGGGACCCTATCTGGCAAGATGAGTGGGACAAGGGAGGGGTTGTTGATGCCAGCAGCACTCAGCTCCCCCCCACCCAGGTCACACCCCCAGCTGGACCTAGCACATGGCCTTGATCGGGACTCCTCTCTCTGCTCTGCTCAGCCCAGGGCTTACCTGGAAGGAGCAAGTCTGAGCAGAAGAGCTGAACCAGCCAGACCACCAGCCTCAGGAAGACCAGAGGGGGACTCAAGGGACTCTGGCTGCCTGGGGGACCCCAGGAGAGTCAGCTACGGTCAGGTCTGAGGGCAGCTGGCCAGAGGCAGCCAGCCCTGGGGTGGCCGTACCCAGTTTTCCCTGCGGTTTGGCTGTGGCTCCTTCCAGAGCACAGAGCAAGTTGGGGGCACACACCTGTACGCGCCTCAGACATGGGGGGCACCAGGCAGACACCCACAGGAGCCCCTCCCCAAACAAGGCCTAACAGGGTGGACTCCGGGATGAGGCCCAGGGCTGCCTCCTCGGGAATTTCCAGCCGCCTCGGGAGGAATTAAGTTCCTGTGTGCTACCCGGCTGCCCAGGGCCCAGCGCTCTGAGAATCACAGCTGCTCAGTCTCCAGCCACCCCAGCCCAGCCAGCTATAAACTGTAAAATCCTAATGAGGAAATTTGGCGGCAGTATTAGAGTGTCAATAAAAAATGGATTTACAGATTGGAAATGAGTCATTTCTGGGTTTTCTTTCGGTCCTTGGTGCCCTACCTGGGGCTGCTCACCTGGCCAGGCCTCGCCTGTCCCCAGTGGTGCCGACGGAGGTGGCCTAGGAGAGGGCGACTGTCCTCCGGCCTTGGAGGAGCTTCTGAGCACCCCAGCCCCCAGCTTCCTCCTGTAAAGACCCTGCTTTGTCAGGGCGGGACCTCAGGGGTTGGCTCCGCAAGCTCGGCAGGTTGGGGACAAAACACGGGGTGACCCAGGACGCCAGGGGAGCCGTCCTCGTTCAGGAAGGACCGCGTGGCCGAGGCCACACGCCCGAGCTGCTCGTGGGCTTGTCACCCGCGTGGGCCTCGTGTCCTGGGGGCCAGGCTGAGCCAGTCTTGTCGCCGTGCGCCCGCCCGGCCCGCTAGGGACGCAGAGCGTCCGCGGCCGGCGCTGCGGAAACGCCGAGCGAGACCCGGGATCTGAACCCGGGCCTCCTAGGTCTGAGGTGTCAGCGGACCCCCACCTCCGGTAGGCCGCCCTCTGGGGCACGTAGGGGTCGCGCTTGGCCAGGGATCGGGCCGGGTCTGTCCGCGGAAGGAGCTTGGAATTCCCTGGCTGGCAGAAAGGAGGGCAGGCGGGACGACCGCGGAGACGCGGAGAGCCCTGCGACCCCCCGCTCCGGCCACCTGGCCCCCTGCCGGCGACCAGCGCCCCCTGCCGCGAAGCGCGCTGCCGCCCAGGCACGCCCCGCCCCCGCCCCGCCCCCACGTGGGCGCCGCCCAATCATCCGGCCGCCGGCGCGCGCGTCACGGGCGCCCTATTGTTATGCAAATATAAAGGGAGTAAAAGGCGCCCCGGCTCGGCGGGCGGGCGAGTGCAGCTGCGCGTGGGGAGGCGCGTGGGACCCGCGTGGGAGCCGCAGCGAGCAGGGACCCGGAACGCGCGGCGCCGCCGCCGGGCCCGCCGGCCCCCGGGAGCGCAGTGCCCGCCCCCGTCGCCCGCTCGCCCGGGCGCGGCTGGATGCGGCGGGGGCCCCGCGGCGGCGGCCCCCGGCCCCCAGCGCCCGGAGCGCCCAGGGGCGGCGTGCGGGGCCCGGGGGCGCCGCGCCCTCCATGCGCCGCGGCGCGCCCCGAGACCGCCGGGGGCCCGCGCCGCAGCCGCCGCCGCCGCCGCCGCCGCCCTCGCTGAGCCCCGGCGCGGCCCGCGCCCGCGCCCGGAGGCAGCATGAGCCAGGCCGAGCTGTCCACCTGTTCGGCGCCGCAGACGCAGCGCATCTTCCAGGAGGCCGTGCGCAAGGGCAACACGCAGGAGCTGCAGTCGCTGCTGCAGAACATGACCAACTGCGAGTTCAACGTGAACTCGTTCGGGCCTGAGGGCCAGACGGCGCTGCACCAGTCGGTCATCGACGGCAACCTGGAGCTCGTGAAGCTGCTGGTCAAGTTCGGCGCCGACATCCGCCTGGCCAACCGCGACGGCTGGAGCGCGCTGCACATCGCCGCGTTCGGCGGCCACCAGGACATCGTGCTCTATCTCATCACCAAGGCCAAGTACGCGGGCAGCGGCCGGTGATGCCCGCCCGGACCCGGGCCTCAGCGTGTCGTCTGCTGTACCTTCCCGCCAACTACCTCGGTGCGCACCGGGCTCCCGGGCCCCGCGGCCACGACGAGCCCGGCGCGCGCGTCCGCGCCCACGGGGGCCGCGCGGCGCCCGCTGCCAGGGGTCGACGCCCCCGCGCGGCCGCCCGGACCCGGGCCGAGGGCTTCCCACGGCCCCCGCCCGCCGCCTCGCGGTGGGGGGGGGGGGAGTGGGGGCGGGGCGCGGGCCGCAGCCCCTTTGAAATTTGAGTCTCGCCACACCAGCAAGTTCGGAGTCCCGAGACACCGGATCCTCCGGTCGAAATGTTTTCTCCCGAAGGTGGAAGAAGGCGGGCGGCGGGGACGCCGGGCTCGGGGCGCTCCGCTGCCCGCAGGACCCGCGGCCGAAGCCCGCAGTCGCGCAGGGGCCGCGGCGGGGCGTTTCCAGCCCGGACGCGCGTCGGTGGAGACGCTCCGCTGTTCTGAGGGTTCTAAACTATTTATCATGTGTGTGTATATTTGTGGGTGAAGTTTGTGCGCCTGAATTTTTTTGTTTGGAAAATATTGTGCGTGGTCAATGTGGTTATAGGGGGGAAGATACATTTTTTTTTTTCCTTAGTCTTAAAACTAAAAACTTGAGGCTGTCATTTCTTGGTTGCACTGAAAATACCGCCCAGCCTGATGGTTTCCCCGTGCGGGTCCCTCTCCCTGCTCCTCACCGCCCCCTCCCCTCCCTCTGCAGACACACGGACACAGCTCTGAGTCTGGGAAGCCCCGGGCCGCCCTCTCCCCTCTCCCGTGGGAGAGGCCACCATCCCCCGAACCTGCGGGCTTTGCAGAGTTTCCTCGGGAGCATGGGTGCGCGGGTGTGGCGGTGATGGGGGGCGGGAGGGGATCCTACCTTTTCTAGTGAGTTCTATTATAGTTAGTCGGTTGCACACTTTTTTAAAAAAGTAAATGGATTTGCCACATTTGAATGTCATAACATTTATGACAGAATATAAAATATTAACATATTTTAAGCCAAGTTTTAGGTGTATTTTTTGAACCTTGGTTATAAACCCAATTTTAAAGGGCGTTGTATCCAGCGTTGTGAAGGCAACAGTGTACCCATATTTATATTTTTATAAAATACCTATAAGACTGTGAATCTCTTGTGCTAATTGCTGAGTAAGTTGAAGGACTGTTTGGCCCCTCTTCAGTCTCCCGGAGCTTCAAGGACCCGATTCGAATCCAAAAACTCTGTCATGGGGGAGGGGCCGCGCCGGGACCTGGGCCGGAGGCGGTGCTTCCGCGTCACTGTCGGTCCCGAAAGGCGCCCTTCCTGGTCTCCGAGGTTCCAATTTTCTATGCAACCCCACACCCCTCGTTGTTTTGATCCTAAGAAATAAAAGGGAGGCTGAATTATTCAAATTTAAATGAGGCTTCCCCCGGGTAGAAGTGCCGCTGACCCTCCGTGCGGAAATGGGGAGCGCTTGAGGACACAGGTGGGTGGAGGCCCTTTGCGCGCGGTCGGTCACACTCGGGCGTCATCTGGGGCTTTTTCTAAACCCTTGTGTGAGCAGAATATATTGATAATGTCAGTGAAACAAGCAGACATTGAAACTGAGGCACAGATTACTCCAAAAGGAGTTTTTCTGTATATTTTTTCTAGATGCAAATACCTTTTTAATTATGTTAATTAATGTTAAGACTTTCTAGGCTTATATGGAAGCTGTGTGTGGGTCCTGGTATGATCACTTCTAACTGGATAAAGTCTGCAGCACGTTCCTGAGTGTACGATATAGACTTGTAGCCCAGCATGAAAAATTTATGAATAAATTTTTCATTGATTTTTTTTTTATTAAAAGAAAAAAAAAAGTTGTTTGTTCTTCTTAGTCTTGGCACCCCGGAGGAGGGTCAGGCTGCAGCCTGCTAGTCGGTGCCATCCACACAAAGCTTGGCTTGTTTTCACCTAAAGACAGAGCCTGGTAAACTGGTGGGCCGCGTCGGGATTTGTGAGGTGCCAGGGGCGGGCCCTCTTCCAGCTGGGGGGACCTAGGCCAACCTGAGAGCGCCCAGAACCAGCCCTCAAACCTATTCCTCTGCTCCCTGGCAAAGCAGCTGAGGCCTTTTGCGTGGAGTGTTCCTGAAGCTCTTCCCAACCCGTAGCCAGCCTGCCGTGTGTGCCGCCACAGGCCCTGGGAAGGACCGGGCCCTCCTGTGCCCATCGCCACCTTCCGCTGTGGGTTCATGCCGGACCACCTGCTGCGCAGAACGGGTATTTCTTTAAGTTTGGGGGAACGTCATAGTCGCTATCTCCTGACAAGTAGGAGAAAGGCCAGTTTCTCTTCTCCGACCCCTGGTGGCATCTGGGAGCCGGCCAGTCCTCGAAGAGCACAGTCCCCAAGCTGGACTTGGCGTCGGCCAGCGTCCCTGTGTGTGTGCGGAGAGCTCGGAGCAGGGTGATCGCTGCTGGGACCTACAAGAGGAGCAGAGACTCCGGGCACATACCTGAGCTGCTCTTGGGGCCCTGGGGCCTTGTGGGAAAGGGGTGAGGGACAGCAGAGCATAAGGACCCCCCCCCCGCCCCCCACAAGAGTAGCCTGCCAGGAGAAGGGGAGCCAGCAAACTTAAGACCTACGAGGTAACAGCTCTTTCTCCTAACTCTTCCGGACCCCTCTGCGGCAGCCCAGGGGGGCAGCTTCCGGTCAGCAGGGGGGCGCAGCCACCCTCTGTCCCACCCTCTGTCTCCCCTAGGTCCCGCAGACACACTGCCCTTTCCCAACTGGAAGCTTTGGGGGCTGTGCCTTCCACGTTCCCACTTTGCACATCTGCTCTGTTGTACCCTTGAGGGTTTTCTCAGCTCATTTTTCTATTGGCTAAACTGGCACATACCGTCCCCTCAGCGGGCCAAGGGTCCGGCTCTCTCCTGGGCACCGGCAGAGGTGAGTGGAATATTTTTTGCCAGTGAGCCCCCAGGGGAGGTGGTGTCCGCTGGGCTGGCGAGCACGCTGGGCTGAGGGTGCCGGGCCTCGACAGGGAGAGTTGCTACGAGGACTTGGACTTGACTTCGGCTGGGGGTGTCCGGACAATGAAGCCGGGCCGGGCACTCTCCGGGTGGCACGCGGGACCGTAGCTCCACTGCCCACCCAGGCGCTGGTGCCCACGGCAGACGGGGGACGCTGGCTCAGAACTAGCAGGTAACGCTGGCTCCCGGCCTCGGCTGCAGGGGAGGGGTCTGCTTCCTGGCGAGTCACTGCCCGGCAACCCCCTCAAAGTCCCGCAGCAGAGAGGCCAGGCAGGCCAGGCGGCTCAGGCACCTGGCTGCCACCAGGGGAGGCTGTCCGGCTCCCCTGAGTCCTCCTTCAGAGACACCTTTGAGAAAGGCTTTGCGCTGCTCACAGGAATAGTTTTCTCTGCAGCAAGGACAGAAAGGAGGCCAAGCCCTGGTGGCACCACAGCTGTGGGGGAGGCCTGGCGGGGTGTGGCTGCCTTTTTCTCTAGGTGCCTGCCCCCAGCCTGGACCCTGGGTGCTGAGGGCTCTGGGTGTGCCCAAAGACGTGCATTCATGGGCACTAAAGGGCGCTTTCCCTGGCAGAGCCCTTGGAAGCAGACACACACTAAATACAGTTTGCTGCTGCCGCCTGAGGTCAGAGCTGTGAACAAACCAGCAAACGGAGCAGTGCGGGTTCTTCCTCCAGGACCTCTACGCTCAGGAACTGGTGGTACTGCTGTGGCTGGGCCAATAGTGTCACCAGGGAGCGGCCCCCCCCACCCCCCCTACCCCCCGCCCAGGTGGGCCTTCAGGGGTGGAAGCGTCCTTCGAGTGTCCGTGTGGCCAGGATGGGAAAGAAGTCAGCGCTGACCTCTCGGCCTGGCTGCCGGGATTCCGGAGGTTGTGCGTGCGGAGGCCAAGGGAGGGGCCACCCAGGACCACCCAGGACACCCAAGGTGGCGGGGTCCCGCAGCCAGGCCTGCCCCACCCCCCAGCCAGGAGTGATGGCGGCTCCAGTCCAACCGTCTGTCTGTCTCCCTGACCTGACCCCAGCCAGACACAGGAAGTGTTTACTGTTGGAATGGATGCCAGAGAGAGACCAGGAAATGCAGTAAAATGGTCAGCCAGAAAGATGAAGTCTAAAGTCAACAGGCGTGGGAGCCAGAGGAGGGAGGGCAGGATCTGGAGGCCAGGCCAAGGGCCAGGGGCCAGGGAGGGGGTTAAAAGAAGGAGAGGGAAGGGGCCGGCCTCTGCGTCTGTCTCCCAAAGGTCTCACAGCTCAGCACAGGGTGGCACAGAGCTCGCTGGGCCAAGTGCCTCCGACTCCTCAGAGCAGCCGGCAGAGAAGAGGCGGGTGTGCACCTGGGGGCTGTCGTTGGGCAAGGATGCCAGATACAGGGGCCAGCTGGGAACCAAGCCTGAGGCCAGGGTGTGAGGGCGCCCAGGACGGGGGGGGGGGGGGGGGGGGGGGGGGGGGGGGGCGGGGAACCTCCCAGACAGCTCCTCCGGAGGCCGCCTCCTGGGGCTTGGGGTCTCTGGAGGCTGCCCTCCCCCACCTCCCACTGCACGCTCCGCCTCTGGGGCCTGGGCTCCCCGCCCCCCTCCGACGCTCCCTCCCCTTCTGTCGGGCTCATTCTGCTGGGCTGTATGTCGGGCGGTCCCTCGTCCCTCCGCGGGTCTGTCTGTCTTTCTTCTCTTGCCCCCTCCGAAGCTGTGGCCCCCATTCATTCTCAAGGCCTCTGCCCTTTCCTCCGAGCGGGTCCCCGCTCGGCGAGCAGCTGCTATGCTAATGAGGGCGGAGGGAGGTGGGGGACCGGCGGGCAAGGGGGGGCTGGGGGGCCCGGGAGGTGGGGCGGGGGCCAGCAGAAGTGCAAGAGAGAGGCGCCAGTGGGGGAGTCCCGCTGGACGGCGCAGCTGGGGGGCGGGAGGGGGGGGGAACCGGCTTGGGTGGAGGAAACCAGCGTGAGGAGACTGGGGGCTCGGCAGCGAGGGGGGAGGGGAGGGGGGGACAGTGGGGGCCTTGGCCGGAGGAGGGGGTGGGCATTCACAAAGGCCGGGGTAGGGTGGGGGCACGGGGGCTGCCCCGCACCCCCCAAATCAAACCCCACCCTGCGCACCCACTCTCCAGGCGCGGGGTGTGCGGGGTAGAGACCAGCTGTCATCTCTGTTCTGGGGTCACGGCCTAGGACCGTTCGGAGGTTCCTCCCCCACTGCCTCGCACCGCGCCCGGGAGAGACGGCTGCGCGCGGGGACTGCAGGGCGCCCCCCCCCGGAAGGGATCTGTTCTCCCGCCCGCCCCAGACACGGATGGTTGGGCACAGGGGTACCGGGGTGGGGAGCGGGGAGTCCCCCAGAGACGGCGCTTGAGGATCTCAGTCTCGGTGAGACTGGGAAAGGGGACGAGCGGGAGACGGGGACCCTGACCACCGGCCACCCGGAGCCCGACGGGCTGCGCGGGGTGGGGGTGGGGAGGCTCGCGAGTCTGGCCCTTGGCGCCCAGTACGCCCCTGCCCGCTCCCGACCGCGACCCCCGCCTCGAGCGAGAACCACGAGTGGGACGGCGGGCAGCATCCCGGTAGCTCTCGCGCGGCGCGTCCCGCGGTAGCTGCCCCGGGCGGGCTCGGCCCCGCAGGGGTGCCGGCCCAGGACCGCGCGGCGCGGGCAGTGCTGCCGCCCGGCGGCCGCGGCGGGCACTACGCCCGCGACCCTGGGCGGTGGGGGCCCCGGCGGCCCAGGCAGGCCCGGCCCGAGCCTCGCCGCCTGCGGAGAACAGCCCGAGCCCGCCCGGGTCTGAGGGTGGGGCGGCGGCGGCGCCCCCACAGCGGCTGTTGGCTGCAGGCGGCTGCCGCCCGGGAGGAGGCGGGCGCTGGGGGGTGAGCCCGCGGCGGTCCTCAGCAGGCGCTGCCCGTGGTGCCCTGTCCTCCCGCTTGGCCGAATAGGGAAGAGAGGCCACTCCTGGGGCCACAAAGAATGGATGGCCCGCAGGACACGGCGTCTCGCGCCGCGGGGGCCCCAGACCACATCCCAGAACCAGCGGGGCCCGTCGTGGGCGCGGGCCAGACGCCGCCGGGGCCTCGGCGCAGGGGCTGGGGGCGGGCGGAGGCTGGCACTGCCAGCTGCGGACCCCTCCTGCCGTCTCCGCACCCCACCCCGTTCCCACGGAAGCGGCGAAGCTGAGCGAGGGCACGGGCAGGTTCCTCTGCTCAAACTCGCCTGCTCGGCGCCGGAGACCAGGCTTCTGCCCGGGAGGGGCTCCCCCGGGGCACGCAACCCACCTCTGCAGTCTGTGGGCCGCCTCACGGGGGCCCCGTGGACAAGAACCAAGGGAACCACGCCCAAAACGTCCCATAAACTTTCCAAGAAGACACGACAAAGTTCAGACCAGCAGTGGTGTGAACAAGACCGTGTATTTCTCAGCTGAGAAGTCGGGGCAGGTGGTCCCGGGCTGGTCTGCACCGTTAGGGGCCCGACCCCCGGATGTCGTTCGGCTGTGCGGGCGTCTCGGTCACATGACCCGAATGGCGGCCCATCCAGTCTACATTCCGGCCGACGACGGGAAGAACTGGAATTTGGATCCTCTCCTTCGGACACTCTTCCCACCAGTCGCTCCGGACACGTGTGCTCACGTCTCATTGGCTACGACCTCGTCACATGATCGGCCTCGCTGCAAGGGCGTCTGGGAAGTGTAGTTTCTGTTCCACGCCGGGCCCTGCCCAGGCTAACCCGGGTCTGAGGGAGGAAGGCTGCGGGTCGGGACGCGGGTGGGTGAGGCGGCCGCCTGTGCCCGTGTGGTCAGGCAGAGGCGTCCGTGCCCTCCGCTCGGCCGTGTTCTTCCCGCCTGCGAGCACCGCAGGCCTGCAGGTCTGGAAGTCTGGGCTTCCGAACCGAGAATGCAAAGCGCCCAGCGACGCGCCGCGCGGAAGCAGGGCCGGGCCCTCCGCGCGGAGACCCCGGACTCCCCGGCTTCCGCCGCCGCGGGCGAGCCCTCGGGAAGGCGCACGGCCCGCCTTCTGCGCTCAGGGCGCAGGAGGGGCCCCGGGGCGCGCCCCCCCCCCCGCCCCCCGGCACAGGGAGCAGCAGCGTGTGTGCACGTAACTTAGCCCTTTGCCCCGCTGCCCTTCTTCCCGCTTCTCTTCGCCTCAACCCCGCTCCCTTATCTTGGAGGAAAGTAATAAGTAACCCAGCACTTTGAAATCTCAAGGCCATGTTGTTAATAAAATACTCCTTCTCAAGGCTTCTTCTGATGTCTTTTTGTGGGTGGCTTCTTTTCATTTTATTTGAAGCTGGAAGAAAATCGTTAGGTTTATCATTTATATTCCTAAAAATCAGCTTTATTGTGGTATAATTTACACACAATAAAATGCAGCCATTTAGGGTGTGGTAAGTGCCGATCGATGTTTATCACCCCATAACATGATGCCATAATCAAAATATAGACTATTTCCATCACCCCCAAAAGTTTGGCCGTGCCCCCCACCCCGCGTCAGTTCCTCCCCGGCTCTAGCCCCAGATCCCTCCCCACGTGATTGCTCTCACCACGGATTGCTCTAGTGGTGCCTGTTCTAGAACTGTACAGAGAAGGATTCGTGCCGGATGTGCTTTTCTGGTGTTGCTTCTGACACTTGGACGAATGCTTTTGAAACTCAAGCCTCAGTGACACGGGTGCCGGTCTTTTTTCTTTTCACTAGAAAAATCTGGCTGGTAACACACAAAACACAGGATAGTTCTCAGTGGTAATTTTTTCATCGACAGAATGACGGTCCTCAACGAAGTTGCTGGCATCACAAGGACACCTCAGAAAACGCTGGGGAGGGTGGGCACAGGCCCACAGCGAACAATGCCAAGGCCGGCCCAGCACTGCCAGTGTCTGTCGCACCTTGTCTCCTCCTCCCAGGCACGGAGCCCTAAGAACCGAAAATCCAACTGAGTGTCCACAGAGCCAGCCTTACCCTGGACGGTGTGCATCTCGATGCACTGAAGCCTTCGGGCTTGAGACCCAGGGCCCCTCTTGCCAGAGATGAGCTGTGTACCCACTTCATGGGGCCTGATGTATCACCTGCCAGTCGTGGGGTACAGTCGGTATACAAAAATCAATTGTAGGGGCGCCTGGGTGGCTCAGTCGGTTAAGCACCCGACTTTGGCTCAGGTCACGATGTGTCCGTTGATGGGAATGAGCCTGTAGTCGGGCTCACTGCTGTCAGTACAGAGCCCGCTTCTGATCCTCTGTCTCCCTGTCTCTCTGCCCTCCTCCCGCACTCTCTCTTTCAAAATAAATACTGAAAAATATATATCATTACAGATACACGAGTGTCACAGTTGGCTAAGTGGCCAACTCTTGATTTCGGCTCAGGTTATGAACTCCCCGTAGGTTGTGAAACTGAGCCCCACATTGGGCTCCAGGCTGGGTGTGGAGTCGGTTTGGGATTCTCTCTCTCTCAAAAAAAAAAAAAAAAAAAAAAAAATTGCAAACAAATAATAAAAATACCATTATATCACAAAGTGGCATCACAAAACAAAATACTTAAGGATAAACTTAATGAAAGATGTGTGCAATCTTTCTGATGGAAACCATAGAACGTTGCTAGGGGAGATTAGCAAAGATCTAAAGTAAACGAGACCTGGGCCCCATTCATGGTCCGCAGGAGTCCGTCTGCTCATCAGTTCTGCCCATTTCGTGTACAGATTCAGTGCAATCAGAGTTCCCGCAGGTGTGTGTGTGGGTGTGAACTGACAAGATGATTTGCAACATTCATTTGCAAAGACAATGGCAAAAAATAGACAAAATAATCTTGAAAATAAAGAACAAAGTTGGAGGATTCACCATACCCAACTTCAAGACTCACTATTATCAAGACTGCAGAGTTGGCCCAGAAAGGGAGCTGCCTAGATCAACGGAATAGATTAGAATCTGGAAATGGCCTCACACACAAGTCATTAAATTATTTTCAGCAAGTATGCTGATGCAATTCAATGAGGTAAGGAAAATCTCTTTAACAAATAAGATGTGAACAACATGTATCCCTATTGTAAAAAAGAGAACCTTGACCCCCACCTCCCACCATTGATAAAAATCAATTCATGGGGATTACAGACCTAAATGTAAATGTTATAATGATAAAAATGCCGTAAGAAAACATAAAAGAATATGTTCATAACCTCAGCATAGGCATATTTCTTAGAGAAGACACAGCACATAGCATAAAAGAAAAAGTGATATATAGGACTTTCTCAAATTAAAATTTTCTGTTTCTCAAGAAATACTATCAAGATTGGGGTGCCTGGGTGGCCCAGTCGGTAGAGTGTCCGACTTTGGCTCAGGTCATGATCTCACACTTCGTGGGTTCGAGCCCCGCGTCGGGCTCTGTGCTGACAGCAGCCTGGAGCCTGCTTGGGATTCTGTGTCTTCCTTGCTCTCTGCCCCTCCCCTGCTTGCTCTCTCTCTCTCGCTCAGAAATAAACATCAACAAAAATAAAAATAAATACTATCAAGAAAATAAAAATGCAATCCACGCACTGGGAAAAACACCTTCCGTGTACACACAAGGAACTGCTCACACCCAGAATAAAGAACCGCAGCTCACCAGCCAGCCAAGCCCCTGCGGCTTTAAATCGGCAAAGCCAGACCAGTGCTCCACCTCATTAGTCAGCAGGGAAACGTGAACTGAAAAAGCAAAAAACACCATGCGTAACTAGATTGGCTGAAATTAATGCCCGAGAACACCCAGTGTTGGCCAGGGTGTGGGGCCAGCTGGACGCGGTCTACACTGCCTGTGTGTTGGTGTGAAATGGCACAGCCGCTGTGCACACCGGCCCAGCAGTTTCTCACATAGGTAAATATGTATCTACCCTCTGGCGGGAAAGAAAGAAAAACACATGTACACAAATACCTGTAAGAATATCCAGAGAAGCTACACTGTGACAGCCCAAAACTGCAAACCACCCAAGTGCCCATCAACTTCATTTTTTAAATGGTGGCGGGATGCTACTCAGCAGTAAGAAAGAACAAGCCACTGGTACTTGCAACAATGTAGACAGATTCCAAAACCAGTAGCTCAGGGGTGCGTGGGTGGCTCACCCGGAGAAGCAGTTAAGCCTCTGACTCTTGATCTCAGCTCCAGTCTTGATCTCAGGGTTGTGAGTTCAAGCCGGGAGCCGGACCCGTGCTGGGTGTGGAACTTACTTTAAAACAGCAAAACAGTAGCTCAACTCAGGAAGCCAGACGTGAAGAGCAAACTTGATAAAATCCCATTTCTGCAAAGTTCCGTAATGGGCAATTCTAACCTATGGTGGAAAGTGACTTCTCTGGAGTGGGACAGACTCAAGGGTCATTCAGAGAATGTTCTCTATCCTAACAAGGCTGTGGGTCCCAGAGGTGTATGGGCCTGAAGGTGCACTGAAGGCCTGGCGTCTCGCTATGTGCTGATTATACCTCAATTTTAATAAAACAACAAAGGGTGTTGCATCCATATCATCCAGGGCTGTTACCATCCTCCATAATGCCCTTGAAAAAAAAATTAAACAGATGAGAAGATAATGGTCATCGAATGTGTAAGCAACAATAGCAAAGCATGATATGCATTCATGAGTATATGTTTGTTTTACGCTAGAAAATGTATACCAAAAATTTTAAATTATCATAGTATCACATCATATAAATGATTCAGAAATAAATCTAAGAAAAGGCAAAAGATTTATGCTATCTGAAGAGAAACCAGAGTATTGAAATAAATCTAAGAAAAATGTGTAATCTCTCTACATATGAAACTACAAATCATTGCTGAGAAGTATTTTATTCATTTATTAAAAAAATTTTTTAGCACCGCCTGGGTGGCTCAGTCAGTTGAGTGTCCGACTACAGCTCAGGTCATGATCTCGCAGTTCGTGGGTTCGAGCCCCGCGTCGGGCTCTGTGCCGACAGCTCAGAGCCTGGAGCCTGTTTCAGATTCTCTGTCTTCCTCTCTCTCTGCCCCTCCCCTGCTCGCTCTCTCTTTCTCAAAGATAAATAAATACACATTAAAAAACAAACACTCCACAGCGTGGGGAAGGATTGGTCAACCCTACTCTAAAATTGTTTCAAAAATGCAAAGGGTCAGGACAACGTGCGGGAACACGCCGTCCGGGACGCAAGACTTGGTGCGAAGCTGTGCTAGCCCGGGAGCGCCGGCTGGCACCGCGACGGGCGCACGGACCAGGGCAACTGAGCAGAGTCTGGAAAGAAGGCCACAGACGCGCGAGACCTGGCTTCTGACCAAAGCGGCCCTGGCTCAGTGCTTGAAGAAAACAAACATTAAAATGTGATCCCAAGTCATGCCATACACACAAATCAATTCTGGGGAGGGGGGCGGTGTAGACCTAATTGGAGGGACTGAGGGGCAAGGCTCCACCATATTAATTTGGGGGTGACACGGTTCAAGCCATAACAGCACCCTACTTGTTGGGGACTCACCTGTGCACAGAGATGTGCGATTTGTGTGCAAAAAGACGTAGGGCCACATTACTCACAATAGCAAAAACAATGAAATAATAAAAACAGATCAAATACCCATCAATAGAAGGGATAAACAAAATGTGGTCGATTCCTAGAACACAGTGTTTGCAGCAAGGAAACTGAGGGGTGGCCCTTCCAAACACGATGCCGAGTAAAGAAGCCAGATGCCAAACAAAACGTGTGGTTCTAGCCGTATAGACAAAGCTCAAAACTGACGCAGAGTGTGGCAACGACTCTGGATCGTAGACTGAAGAGCTCAAAAACTCCTGCCCCTGAAAAAGCAACAATAAAAACAAAAATTCTGGACTCTGGAAATTGGTCAAAAGCTTTGAGAAGCAGGGGCACCCAGCTGGCTCGGTCGGTAGACCGTGCGACCCTCGATCTCGGGGTGGTAGGTTCAAGCCCCACGCTGGTTGTAGAGATAACTTAAAAATAAAATCTTTAAAAAAAAAAAAGCATTGAGACTGTTTCTTGAGATCTCGGAAAGGAAAACAGGAGCCAGCGGAGTGTGGCCTGGGACTGTCCCCATGCAGGTACCAGAATGGGACCAGCCGGGGGGCGGCCGCCTTTGAAGTGACCTGGAAAAGCCCCATTATCAACCAGCGTTGCTACAGTGTATTGTCAAAAATGTCCAGTTTTAAACAGAAATATTTGGAGACCTGCAAACAAACAGGAAAGTGTAATTCACCCGCCCGGTGAACACAGTCAGTAAGAGCTGTCTCTGAGGGCCCAGATGTTACACGTAGCTCACAGACTTCAAAGCAGCCATTGTGAATACTTTCAACGATGTAAAGGAAGCTGTGTAGAAAGATTTAAAGGAAAGTGTGATAAAGCAGAGAATATCAATAAAGAGGTAGAAGTTAGTTTGAAAAATGGGACTGCTTTGGAAAATAGTTTGGCAGTTACTTAAAATGCTCAACAGAGCTTTCAGGGGCGCCTGGGTGGCTCAGTCAAAGCATCTGACTTCAGCTCAGGTCATGATCTCACGGTTTGTGAGTTCGAGCCCCGCGTTGGGTTCTGTGCTGACGGCTCGGAGCCTGGAGCCTGGAGCTGCTTCTGATTCTGTGTCTCCCTCTCCTTCTGCCCTTCGTACATTCTCTCTCTCTCTCAAAAATAAATAAACTTCTAAAAATTAAATGTGTGTGTGTGTGTGTGTGTATACATATACATCCAACTCTTGATTTCAGCTCGGGTCATGAGCCCACAATTCATGAGATCGAGCCCTGCATCAGGGTCTGTGATCATTGCATTGAGTCTGCTTGAGATTCTCTTTCTCTCTCTCTCCACTCCCCCCCCACCTTGTGCTCCCTCTGTCTCCCTCTTTCTCTCTCTCAAAATAAATAAACATTTTTAAAAAATCTTTTAACTATTTGAGATTTTGTAAAGCAGATTGTTAACAAAAACTGAGATCTGCTAAAAAGGGGCACTTGGCCCCCTCCGGCCATGGGTCTGGGCCTCAGGATGCCAGCACACAGTGGATACCAGCACATGGAGAGTCCGGTGCTTCCGTGAATTTGGGAGAAGTGACACCTTCACCCCAGGGATGTAAACAAAACCACCTTTGAGGCGCTCCTGATCATCAGTCTCATAACTGTACAACTCAGTCCCAAAGTGTCTCGTTCCACTCGGTCCTGAGGGACTTTGGATTATTTCAAAAGCTACCCGGCGCATCTTCACAAGAGGAAGCTTTCTGACCCTGAGGGTCATTCTGGAAGAGAAGGGCCAGGCAGTGTGCACGTTCCTGGGAAAAGCCCCCACGACATTTTCTTAGATGCATCAATCCCGTCACGTTCAGAAGATCGAGGCCACTGCGGCGACCCAGCCACCTGGTGGCCAGAGGGTGGAGCCACAGGCTCCGAAGCCCGGGGTGGGGGGGGGGTCGCCTGCTGGCACCTGCGGGCCTCCCTCCTGAGCATCTTGGAGCAGAAGGTCACTAAGCACCAGAGCCACATGCGTGCGGCGGTCTGTCCTGAGCTTCTCTCCCTGAGCGGTGCTGACCCCTTCTGGAAGCACGCGTCTGTTCATCCACAAAAGCCCGTGGCTGCCCCACTAACCGGGACATCTTCCATCAGCAGCTCCGCACAAAGGCCGTGGCCTGGCCCTGACAGCCTCCGGCAGGCAGGCTTCGTGCGAGGCCCTCTGGGGCCGGACTCGTCGCAGGCTGCGCTTCGGCATCGCCGGCGGGACTGGGACAGCGCCCGGTGCGGGCCAGCGGGCGTCAAGCGGACGCGCTTGCTGGCCTCAGCCCCGCCGTCTGCGGCGGAGCTCAGCTGCTTCCCCCGGGACTTCGCAGACCTCTGGCCTTGAGGAGCAAAGGACCAGACTTTCCCGGGAGACAGGGCCCGACCATTTCCAAAAACGGCCGCCACCGCCGCCAGCAAGTCTTTTCAGCCCCCTCGCCTTCCCCTTAAAATGCCCGGCTCACCCGGACAGCCGGGGGCGGCCTTTGGACGTTAGTCTGCCATCTGCCCAGGCGGCCCCCTTCCTGCAGGAAGCAGCCTTCCCGTCCCCACTTGTCTCTCAAGGATTGGTGTTCAACCGGCAAGAAGCCAAGCGTGAGTCTGGGACGGGCCGTCTGCGGTCGCCGTCCCGGTGATGCTCCAATCACACGAGATGCACCCATTCCCCCAGTGCAAGACCCCCCCCGACTCTGACACCCCAGACTCGGCTATGCCTTCCCTCATCTGAGCCGCTGATGTTTCCAGACACAATCGGATCCTTTCCTTCGTGGATTTCCATCACTTTCCATTCTGTCTGCAAAATGTTTGCAGTTGTCCGAGAGAGGAAACGCTTGGGCTCTAAAACTGCCAAGACCAAATGCAATAGTTTTGTGTTTTGTTGTTGTTGTTGTTGTTGGTAGTAAAGAACTGGAAAACATAAAAGAAGGAGCAGGAGGGGAGGGGGAGGAGGGCGGAGGGGGAGGGGAGGGGGAGGGGGGGAGGGGGGGGGGCGGGGGGGGGAGGAGCAGCGGGCTGCGGAGAGGAGGGAGGGGGAGGAGGCAAGGCGAGTCGGAGGAGGAGCCGGCTACGCCGCGCGCCCGGGCCTCCCCCGCAATCACCTGTCTTCAAGTGTTCCACGTTCTTCCTCTAAGGTGCATGCCAGCTGCGCGCCCGTGGTCACGGGAGGGGAGGGGGGGGGGGGGGGGGGGGGGGGGGGGGGGGGAGGGGGGAGGGGCGGAGGGGAGGGGGAGGGGAGGGGGAGGGGACACTTTGAGGGACAGCTGGGCAGTTTCTAGCGACACTAAACCTACTCTTACCAGGACCCGGCAGCCCTTCCGTGTCTGCTCAGACTGGATGAAAACCTCTGTCCACACGAAACCTGCGCCCATATGTTTAGAGCAGCTTGATTCCTTGAAATTGCCAAAACTTGAAAGCCACCAAGGTGTCCTCCAGCAGGTAAATGGGTAAACCGTGGTACATCCAGAGAAGGGAGTACTATTCGGCACTAAAAAGAAATGAGCTGTCAAGCCACGAAAAAACATGGGGGAGCTTTAAGTGCATATCGGTGGGTGCAGTGAGGTCCACCTGAAAAGGTGACATGCAGCCAGCATGATTCCAGGGATGTGACACCCAGAAAAGGCAAAACTGGAATCGATAACAGGATCAGGGAGCCCCAGCAGTTAGGAGGGAGGGAGGCGGGTGGGGTACAGACGGTTTTAAGGACAGTGAAAACACTATGAGAACGGTGGCTACGTAGCACTCTAAATTTGCCCAAACCCACAGAATACATGACGTCAGGAGTGAACGCTCGCGTAAACTGTGGAAAGACTGAGCAATAATGGCTTGTCCGTGTGGGTTCACCACGTGTAACAAACGCACTCCTCTGGTGGGGATGTTCACAGCTGGGGGCCAGGGTTCCACAGGAAAGCTCTGCATTCTTCCAATTTGCTGTGAACCTAAAACTGCTGTAAAAATATAAAGTTTATTTTTTAACTTTTTAAATGTTTATTTATTTTTGAGAGACCGAGACAGAGAGAGAGCAGGGACGGGGCAGAGAAAGAACGAGACCCAGAATCCGAGGCAAGCTCCAGGCTCTGAGCTAGCTGTCAGCACAGAGCCCAGCGCGGGCCTCGAACCCATGAACCGTGAGATCATGACCTGAGCCGAAGTCAGATGCTTAACCGACTGAGCCCCCAGGTGCCCCTATATGGCTGACATCTTGATTTTAGCCTCCTTTGGCCCAATGTGGATTTGCGACCTGAAGAACTCTAAGAGAAAACATTTGTGTTGTTCCAAGCCACTGTTTGTGGCAACTTGTTACGGCATTAACGAAAAACTAGCAATTATCCTGATGCCAAAGCTGGACAAAGACATCTCAAGAAAGCAAAACTCCATACCAGTATCCCTCATAATCACAGATGCAGATATTAGCAAACCGAATCAAGCAGCATATAAAAAGGATCACATACCACGACCAAATGGGATTTGTCCCTGGAAATCAAGGTTGGTTTAACATCTGAAAATCTATAAGATCAAGGATATAAACCACATGATCCTCTCAATAAGCGAAGCAAACATTTGACAGAATCCAACACTCATTCACAAAACCCTGAACACTCAGAACAAACCTGTCCCACGCCGACAAAGAACGCTACAAACAGTTCTACAGCTAACATCCTACTTAATGGCAGACTCAATGCTCTGCCCCTGAGATCGGGAACACCGCTTCCGGCCAACATTGAGCTAGGAAGTTCCAGCCAGTACAATCGGTCAAGAAGCAGAAATAAAAGGCATAGAGATTGAAAGGGAAGAAGTAAAACTGCCTTTCTTTGCAGAAACGGTGTCCCCGATGTTGAGCACCCTAAGGAACCCATACCAAAAACCACACAAACACAAAAACAGAAAGAAAATGAGGACTAAGAAACAAATTCCACAGGGTCATAGGATCCGAGATCAGTATACAAAATTCAATTTTACTTTTAGGGCGCCTGGGGGGCTCAGTTGCTTAAGCGTCCGACTTCGGTTCAGGTCATGATCTCACGGCTCATGAGTTCGAGCCCCGCGTCGGGCTCTGTGCTGACAGCCGGGAGCCTGCTTCGCATTCTGTGTCTCCCTCTCTCTCTGCCCCTCCCCCACTCACGCTCTATCTCTCTCTCAACAATAAACAAACATTAAAAAAAACCTAAACTAAACAAAATTCTATTTTATTTTCATACACCATCAGTGAAGAGCTTGAAAACAACAATAACACCATTCCATTGGCAATGACCCTGAAAAGAGTAAAGTACGGAGTACGCTGAGGACGGGAAGCACGAGTCTGCACCCTGGAAACCGCGCCGCCCAACTGAAGGCTTGGGAGCCTGAGGGGCTCCAAGTCCACGGACCGGAAACTTCAATATCATGAAGATGGCAGGTCTCCTCAAAGTGATCTCTAGATTCAACGCAATTTCTCTCACAATATAGAAATAGGCTTTGGGGTTTTTTTTTTTTTTTCAGAAATGGGCTATCTAATCTTAAAATTTATATAGAAGGGCAAAGGACCCAGCCAAAACGATATTGAAAACTAAGAACAAAGTTGAAAGACTCACAGTTTCCAATTTCAAAGCTATAAAGCTACAGAAATCAAAAGAACATGATTCTGGCATAAGCACACTTAGATCAACAGAACTGAGAGTCCAGAATTGAGCACAAATCTTTGTGGCCAATTGATTTTTGACAAAGGGGTTTTGATGTAGTTTCTGTGTCAACTTGGCGAGGCTACAGTCCCCTGTTATTCAATCAAAACTTAATCTAGTTTTAAGTTAGGCGGTTGCTGTGAAGGCATTTTGTGGTTGAGATTAAAGTCCATAATCGATTGCCTTTATGTAAAAGAAATGATCTTATGTGACCTGGGGGGGCCTGATTCAATCTGTTGAAAAGACTGAAGAGCTGAGGATTCCAAGGAAGAAGAAATCCCACCCAGGGGAGGTGATGCCAGAGGTCCCGCCCGCCTCTGCCCACACCTGCCCTGCCACGTGTCTCCCACTGACACCCGCTCGCGCTCCTGTGGAGCGCCACATGTGTCCAGGCAGCTTGCCAGGGAAAGCACAGGCTCCTCAGTAAATGGTGCTGTGGCATCACATGCAAAAAGACTCACTGAGACCCTCATCTCATACCATATATAAAAACTAGCTCAGGGGCGCCTGGGGGGCTCAGTCGGTTGAACGTCCGACTTCAGCTCAGGTCATGATCTCGCGGTTCGTGGGTTCGAGCCCCGCGTCGGGCTCTGTGCTGACAGCTCAGAGCCTGGAGCCTGCTTCGAATTCTGTCTCCTTCTCTCTCTCTGACCCTCCCCTGCTCACGTTGTCTTTCTCTCTCAGAAATAAATAAAAATTAAAAAAAAAAAAAAGCTCAGAATGGTTCATAGACCTAAATGTAAAGAGCTAAAACCTTAAAACCATTTAGAATAAAGCATATGGGGAAATCTTTATGATCTGGGATTAAGCAAGGAGTTCTTAGATACGACATAAAGGTGTGACCCATGAAAGAAAAAACCTGATTAAGTTCGACTTCATGAAAATTAAAAACCTTTGCACCTCAAGACATTTCAGGGCACCTGTGTGGCTCGGTCGGTTCAGTGTCCCACTTCGAATCAGATCGTGATCTCGTGGTTCATGAGTTCGAGCCCCATCCTGAGCTCTAGGATGAACCTGCTTCGGATTCTGTGTCTCCCTCTCTCTCTTTGCCCCTCCCCTGCTCATGCTCTGTCTCTCTGTTTCTGTCTCTGTCTCTCTCAAAAATATAAATAAACAGGGGCACCTGGGTGGCTCAGTTGGTTAAGTGCCAACTTCGGCTCAGGTCATGATCTCATGGTTCGTGGGTTCGAGCCCCGCGTCGGGCTCTGTGCTGACAGCTCAGAGCCTGGAGCCCGTTTCCAATTCTGTGACTCCCTCTCTTTCTGACCCTCCCCTGCTCACACTGTCTCTCTCTCTCTCTCAGAAATAAATAAAACATTTTTTAAGAATTTTAAAATATAAATAAATAAGACATTTCAAATTATGAAAATTAATAACAACCTATAGCCTGGAAGAAAATATTTGTAACGTACATCTGATCAAACACGTATAGCCAGAAAACATAAGGACGCCTCACAAGTCAACAAGGAGCAAAACACCCAAATAATGTGAAGGGCTGGTGAGCACATGGGACAATGCTCAGCGCCACCAGTTAGCAGGAAGCGCAAACTGAAGCCACACACCGGGATGGCTGCCACCAGACTGTCGGTAACCAGTGTGGTGAGATGTCGCCCTCGCGCACGGTTGGGGCCACGTAAAATCGTACAGCCACTTCGGAGAGCAGCTGGGCTGTTCCTTAAAAAATGACACAACATTTTTTTCATGTGACTCAGCAATTCCACTCTTCGCTGTTTGTTCAAGATAAAGGAAAACATATGTTCACACAAAGAAGTTTGGGGCAAATGCTCCTTGCACAATTTATTCATAAGAGCCAACAAGGGGAAACAATCCAAACGCCCACTGAATGGGGGTGAGGACAGGGAATGCCTTTGGGCCACGCAGTGGAACGCCAGTCCGCAGAAAGGCACCGGCGAAGGCAAGCCCTGTGGCACGGCGGGCCCTGCAAGCAGTGTGCTCAGTAACAGAAGTCAGACACAAAAAGCTTAAAAGCTTCCAAGTATATGGGATGCCTTTTAGGAGGGGCAAACCCAGGGAGACAGAAGAATGAACACTTGTCAGAGAAAGGGGAGGAGACAGGGATTCACTTAAAATAGGCAGGATGGGTCTTTCAGGGGTAATGAAAAGATTCTGAGCCTGAATTGTCATAATATTTGCACAACTCTGCAAATTTACTAAAAATCATTAAATCATCCACTCAAAAGGTGTAAATTTTGCAGTATATATATGATTATATGATACTTCGATAGAAGTGGGGGTTTTTTGTGTGTGTTTTGTTATTGTTGTTTGTACTTAAACAGGAAAGCTACAACATGAGAAAGAAACTAAGCCAGGGGCGGCTGGGGGGCTCAGTCAGTCGAGCATCTGGCTTCGGCTCAGGTCATGATCTCGCAGTTCGTAAGTTTGAGCCCCTTATTGGGCTCTGTGGTGACAGCTCAGAGCCTAGAAGTGCTTCGGATTCTGTGTCTCCCTCTCTCTCTGCCCCTCCCCTGCCTGGGCTCGGTCTCTCTCTCTGTCTCTCAAAAATGAATTAACATTAAAAATTTGACAAACAAACAAACAAACGCCAAACTAGACTGATAAGAGTTGTAAAGTTAAGTCGTTCCAGTATGAAGAAACCAAGGCAGTGATTATATGAAAGTTACAATGCCAACAAAAATTATATTTTTTTAGAAATAAATCTCACAGGGGCGCCTGGGTGGCTTAGTCGGTGAAGCGTCCGACTTTCGCTCAGGTCATGATCTCGCGGTTCGTGGGTTCGGGCCCCGCGTCGGGCTCTGTGCTGACTGCCAGCTCAGAGCCTGGAGCCTGTTTCGGTCTGTGACTCCCTCTCTCTCTGACCCTCCCCTGCTCACGCTGTCTCTCTCTCTCTCCTAGAAATAAATAAAACGTTAAAAAAAAAATCTCACAAAAATGAGCAAGACCTGCCCGCAGATAATTACAAAGCTCTATTGAAATATGTTAAATCAGGCTTTATAAAATGCATGGCAGGGTAACGGGATTGCCATTCCCCAAACTGATCTCTGAATCAGAGTGATTCCAGTCAAATCCTAAAAGGTTTTCCCAAGAATTTGACAAAATCAAGTTCTACGGGAAAAAGCCCGAGAAGAGCCAAATGACATCAAGAAGGGTCCTGGTGGCTGTCACGCCTGCCACACGCTAATAAGCCATCATACAACCTGGTGCTGCCCCACAGCCCGGCGCTCAAAGAACCTAGAAACCTGATTCATAACAGAGTGGGAATCAGAGCATCAAGAAAGCAGGGAACTAGTTTATAAATAAGTCAATAAGTAGGGGCGCCTGGGGGCTCAGTCGGTTAAGCGTCCGACTTCGGCTCAGGTCATGATCTCACGGTTCTTGGGTTCGAGCCCCGCGTCGGGCTCTGTGCTGACAGCTCAGAGCCTGGAGCCTGTTTCAGATTCTGTGACTCCCTCTCTCTCTGACCCTCCCCTGCTCACGCTGTCTCTCTCTCTCTCTCTCTCTCAGAAATTTTTTTAAAAAATTTTAAAAATACGTCAATAAAATAAAATTTAAAAATCAATGGAAAGTAAACATAATAATGTCTGATATGCAGGGTGGAGTGAGAAGACAGGTTTAAACACTCGGTGAGCTGGGCCCTTTGGGTGGAGGGGTGCCTGGCGCTCGGCCGACCACAAGTGGGCTTGACTGGCCAAGTTCAGTCAGGGGTAGCTGCCAGCCCACGAAGGACACGGAGCGGTGTGCGCTCAGGGGGACCACTGCCCAAAAATTTAAAAAGCAAGATATAAAAAGGCAGGACAACGAAAAGGCACAAAACGAAGTCACCAGAAGTTCAGGTCTGTAGTAGGCTGTCCGCGGCGCCGCCACGCACCGGGTTACAGGGGCAGGGCCGGGGACCTGGGCCTGGACACAGCTCGTGTTCCGCTTTAGGGACAGGAGGCTCCTGCCCCAGCTGCCCGGCACGTGCGGTCGGTTGACAGAGCTGGCCATCCCCCATCCCCAAGTCCCCTGTTCCTCCCCCCCACGCTCCCCCCCCGCCGCACCCCAGGAATTTGTTCTCCCAGCCTGTCTGGGCCAGCAGGGCCCCATTCTGCCCTGGATTCCTGGGCCCAGGCCTGAGGAGGTCCGACAGCGGCTCCCTGCTGGGACAGACCTAGGCCCTGGGCCCCAGAAGGCGCCAGGGGGAGAATGGATGGCGGGGGAGGGGGCTCCCACCACGCGGGGCCCTGGGGGGCCGCCTGAGATGGTCCCAGAGGTCTGCAGGGCTCAGAGGCCACACTGAGCTCTGACCTGGGGGCTGGGTGGTGGGCGGGCGGGCACAGCCCCACACCCTGTCAACGGGCGCTGCGCTCTGCGGAGCCCTTCCCCTCTGCTCCCCGGGGCCCTCTTTGGGATTTGATGTGGTCAGGGTGCTGGCATGTGTGCGCATGCTCCCTCAGGCCCTGCACCCCTCCAGGGTGTCCCCCGGCGACTGGAAGATGCAGGACACCCCCGGTGACCTCCGAGGCCAGGCGGCCCCGCACGGCCGCTGGGCGGCAGCACCGAGGCCATCTCAGGGCGGGCGGGAGGCGGGGCTGCGAGACCAGGTGGGGGTCGCTTGGACGTGACCGCCGCCCTCCGCCCTCCGGCAGCCACCCAAACGACTCGCACCCCGCTGGAAAAGCGTAGGGGCCTGAAAACCTGACAACCTCTGCGGTGGGGTCTAAGGGGTTTCTGCCTGGGGGCCTCCCCCAGGCAGCGACCTGATGCCAGCTGGTGGCCAGGGCAGGGGGATCCGAGAAGTCAGCGCCCCCGACTTGGGCCCTGCCATCTACCGCTGGCCCCCGAGAGAGTGCTCCCCAACTTCCAGAGAGTTCAGGGATTTCCACCGGATCAGTTCATTGTGTGTAGACTCCCGCCCACCCTGTTGCCTCCCAGGGAGCTCCAGCCCGAGTCCGGGAGAAATCCAGGGGGCCACGCCACTTTCCTGGCTGGAGAAGCCTCCAGGACTTTGGGCCCACAGGGTGAGGTGGGGGTGCGTAGGCGGTGGACGGACAGTGTGTGTGTGTGTGTGTGTGTGTGTGTGTGTGTGTGTGTGTGTCTGATAGCTGCTGCAGGCGACCCGCAGAGCTGAAGCCACGGACAGTCGAAAGGAAACAACTAGGTGACCCTGGGAGCCGGGCACTTCCTCTGGTGCCATCCGGGGTCTATAGCACCTCCAGGGGTGCCTGCAATGAGGGGCCCGCAGCAGGTGCTTAGGAATGTGGGCTAGGACGGGGGGGGGGGGGGGGCAGACTGGGGGGGGGCTCTGATGGGGGAGCTGCGACTGGAAGTGCGGGCACAGAACTGACCCACCCCCGCCTCCACAGGCCCCAGGGCGAACCACAGGTTAGGCGGGCAGTGAGGGCTACAGGCAGATTTATTAGGGGCCTCAGGCGAATCCACAGGGTCCCTTCCTCCTACTACCACCATCAAGCGACGTGTCCCCCGGCGCCCGCAAGGCACGCACCGCGTCCAGCCCGCCGCTGCTACAGGAGGTTCACCGAGGCCACCACCTGCTTGCAGCCGGTGACCGCGAACTCGCGGCCGGCGACGCGGTAGTACTGGAGCTGCGCGGCCAGCAGCTCGGCGCGCGCCTGCTCGGGGAAGAAGCCCTCGGCGGCCATCTCGTCCCGGAAGCAGCTGACCACGTCCCGCCGGTCCAGCAGCAGGAAGGGCACGATGGCCGCGGCCTGCCACAGCGGGTGCGCGCGGACCAGGAGCGCCCGCAGGCCGGCGCGCAGCTCCTCCTCGGCCCGAGGGGCGCCGTCGGGGCGCGCGGGGGGCCCGCGGGACGCGTTCTGCAGCACGAAGTGCGTGATCTCCGCGCCGCCCTGGCTGCTGAGCAGCACGTAGACGGCGCTGCGGAAGCGGTGCGCGCGCTGCGGCTGCAGGAGGCCGTGCAGCTCGTCCAGCAGCGCCGGGGGCATGCGCTCCGCGTCGTCGAGCACCAGGAGCGGGGTCTTCTCCTCCGCCTCGGCGCGCTCCGCCACGTCGGCCACCAGCCGCGCCAGCTCGTCCCGGCAGCCCTGCGCGGCGCGCGGCCGCGGGCAGTGGTGCCGCGCGTGGTACTGCAGCACCAGCGCGCCGTCCTCGAGCACCGCGCGGAAGTGGCGCGCCAGCAGGCGGCCCACGTGGCTCTTGCCCACGCCGCTCGGCCCGTGCAGCGCCAGCAGCAGCGGGCGGCTGTGCACGTGCGTGGCCAGGTAGTCCCTCAGCAGCGCCACGATGCGCGCCACGGCGGCCGGCTGCCCGAACACGGCGCGCTGCAGCGCCTTCTCCAGCCCGTCGAGGTCGTAGCGCTGCGCGTTGTCGTCCAGGTTCTCGATGGCGTTGAGCACCTGGAAGCCCACGATGGCCACGAGCAGCAGGAGGCAGCGCTGCGCGCGGCTGCGGCGCTCCGCGCGAGGCCGGCACTTGCGCGACGTCTCCGGGTAGAGCACCACGCGGCTGCGGCGGCGCCTCTTGCGCGGCGTCCTGGACGGCGGCTCCGGGCTGTCGAAGGTGAAGAACTGCGGCGGGTCCGCGGGCGCGGGCGCGGGGCCCGGCGGCGGCACACGCCGCTTGCGCAGGAGGCACACGCGGCGGCGCAGACGGACCACCGCGCGCAGCGGCGGGATCAGGCTCGGGCCGGGGGCGCCGGGGCCCGCGGCCTCCGCGCTGCGGGGGCCGCTGTCCATGGCGCGGGGGCGGCGCTCCGCATGCAGGTCGCCCTCCCTGCAACAGGAAGATGGGGAGGGTCTCCAGGCTTCCGCAGGGCGCGCTTGGACCCTGCCCCCGAGGGACGTCCCTCCTCCGGGAGGCCCCCAGAGAGTGCGGAGGCGGGAATGGCGGCCCCCGGTGCCGGCCTCCGCGGCCCGAGTCCGGCCCCGCTGACCAGGAAGCGGCTCCCCGCTGGGCCCCAATGCAAATCTCTCGGGGCCTCCCAGGAGCGCCGCGGGCCTTGAGGAAGTGGCGGAGCCGGGAGGGTGCCGCTTATCGGACAGCCACCCGGCTTCCTGGAGACGGTGGAGGGTCCAGGCCCGCCCGCTGCCCACCCCTCCCTCCGCGCCCCAGCCGGCAGCTCCGCCTGCCAGGCGCCAGGGGCTCTCTGCATCCCAAGCGGGAACCAAGGGGAGCAGAGGCCGCAGCACCCCAGAGCCAGAGACGCCCCCACGCATTTAAGAACACTGCGGGGGGGCGGGGGGGGTGGTCAGGAACTTCTGCTTTTGAGAATAGGCCCAGGCGTGCCGCCCTCCCACCCCCACAGCTGGGGTCCTCCCTGAATCCCGTGAACACCCTGACGGAGTGGCAGCAGGGAGCCCCCCAGAGACTAGCAGGGTGGGGTGGAAGATGGGACAAAAAGGAGGAGCCGGGGGAGGAAAAGAGCCATAGAAGAGACAGAGCTGAAGGAAGGACCGATGCCCCTGGTGCCCACCCCACCCCATACCTGCAGCCGTCAGGCTAAGTTCCTGCGGGGCTCCAGCCCACCGCGGGCAGCCCCCTGCCAGGGCCAGAGGCTGGGGCTGCAACTCAGGACACAGAAAACACCAGCTTCCTGCTCAGGGTCCTGATGGGTCAGGGGCCTGGCCTGCGAGCTCAGGCCTGAAGGGGCAGCAACACCTGCCGGTCCCGGATCGTTAGGAGGGGAGGAAGCTCTGGGGAGGTTTCCGCTTCTATGCAAAGGAAGTGAGTCAGGGGTGTGGCAAGTGGGCGGGACTTGGGCTGGATGGAGGCGCCAGACGGGGAGCCCGGCTGGCTCGCTCAGGTCCCCTGGCCATCAGGTCACCTACCCCCTGCAGCCCTCCAGGCTCTGTCCAGGCCCAGGACACCTGGGAAGGCTTGGGGACACCCCCTCCCCAGGGATCCCAAAGACTCGCATCTCAGTCTGGCTTCCAAGAAACCCCTGCCTCCCCGGGGGCCCCTGCACCTGACCCCCCACAGGGAGCAGAGTAGGGCAAGAGCAGAGGGGTGGGCAGGGTCCTCTGCCCAGCTGGGTATCCCCAGTCCCTCCCTATTCCCCTCTCCCCCACCTCCCTCCCCTCCCTTGACCCCACTTCCTTTTCCTCCCCCTCCTCCTCTTCCAGGGACTGGGGCTCCGTCCCTGGGCTCCCCGTCTCCCCCGCCTCTTCTCCTGTCCCCCCAGCTCAGAGCCCTCCCAGCCCAAGGGCAGGCTAGCGCACTGAAAAATCCCAGGGCTGGCGGAAGACGCCCATGGGACCCAGCTCAAGGGCCTGGTTGGGGAGCAAGTTTACGAAGAACAAAGAACTTAGGCAAAAAGGTGGCAGGTGGGGGCTCTGTGGCCCTGCCCCCCGCCCCAGCCCCGCACAGACAGGCCTTCCTGAGTGACCCTCTGCTCCTTTCATTCCGACCAGCGGGGCTGGGTGCTTCCAGGCCCAGCTCAGAAGCACCTCTCCTCGGCCGGGCTTGTCTGAGCCTCCCTACCACCGGGTCCATCAGGCAGCCCGAGCCAGACTGCTGCTGTTCCCTCAGTGCCCAAGCCCCTTGGCCGTCCCGCCTGGGGTCCCTCAACCTCACCCTCTTAGCCTCCCTTTGCCCACACACTGCGTCCATCCCCTCCCCTAACTCGTCTTCACTTCACAGCGGCCGCCAGCACGCCCTGCATCAGGGAAGTGTGCTGGGGGGGGGGGGGGTCCTGTTCTCTCCAGAATACGGGATTCACAGGCCTCCTGGGGATGCATGTACCATTACCCTTCTGCCCTGTGCCCTCAGACAGCATCCTGCTTCTCCGCAGCCTCCTCTCCAGCCCTGGGGCCTGGCTCCCCAGGACCCACTGCCCCCCACTGTGCGGGGGCAGGTGCATGGGGCCTTGGGCCCCTTCCCCACCGCATGGCCTGGCAGTACTCACGGCCCTCCTGGGGCCAGAGGGAGGCGGGGGGGATGGGCCCTGTCCAGGCTCGCGCATGCCCCATGACTGCATTAAGGGGGTGGGCGTGGCTCCTGCCCAGCTCTCTGCTTCCTAGGGAAAATGGAGACATCTGGAAGGGGGCTAGCCCCCAGCAGGTGCACCTCGACACCACCTCCCTGCTCCCAGGGGCAGGGCCAAACACATGGACCGTGGCCCACAAAGGCAGAAACATTAAGATACTTGCCCACTTACACTGCGTCCAACCCACAGGCGTGCCCATAAACAGCTCACCCACTGGATTTACCCAGACGCCTTTTATTTACATAAGTGAAAGTCTCACTGTGTGCAGTCCCTGACTTGGCCAAGGCGGTGCAGCTGAGTAAGGAGGAGCAGACCCCTCCAAGGGAAAACTGAGGCAGCCAGTCGGTGGCCTGGGCTTTCCTCTGCCATGCCTGCTACATGGGGAGCTGCTGGCCGATGGGGGAGCAAGTCCCTGCCTGTGGGGCCCTGGGTCAGCCAGAGCGCCCGCTGCGAAAACACTCAGATGCCCCTCCGAAGCCAGGCTCGTTCTGCAGGTGACTGGACTCAGCAAACCACACGACTGTGGCCGATGTGTGCCAACAAGGCTGGGCCCGCCCCCACCCCCTGCCCCTCGGGGCTCAGCACACGCCCCCCTCTCACCCTCCCCCATGGGAAACAGGTGGCTTTTTCCTAAGCCCAGCTCCTGCCAATCTGCCTCCATCTAGAAGTGGAAACCCACACCAGAGGCAGCAATAAGCCAGAAGCTTCCACAGCCTGGGAGGAAGTTCAAGCGGCCAGGAGGGGCACAGCAGACCCAGAGCTGTGCTCCACAGAACCAGACGGGGGCCTACGAGGAGCAAGAACACAATCCCATTCCCGTGGATGACACACACCTCCCAGGACTCGGTTTGGGGTGAGACTGAGGCGCAGAATGGGGCCCCAGGTGCAGGAGGTCCCAGGGTGGGGGGGGGGCTCCGCTCGGACCGCCCCGGCCACCGGAGCAGCCGCTCTGCCCTCAGGAGAGACGGGGTCCTGGTACTTGCAATCGCAGGGGGGCTCCTCCGGGCCAACCACGGCCCCGGCCCCACGGGGGGCCCTGCTCAGTCCTGAGCGGCCCCAGGTGGAGCCTCAGAGCCCGGCCGGAGCGGACACGGCGGGGAGGGGCAGGTCCAGGGCCGGAGCGTCTGCGGCCGGGGCCGGGCTGGCCTTCCGGTGCTCCAGCTGCTGCAGCCGCTCGCCGAGCTGGGAGTACAGTTCCTTCACCGCCTCTCCGCTCTGTGGGGGAAAGAGCGTGGTTCGGGGCAGGCGGCTCGGGAGAGGGGCGGGCAGTGTGGGCCGAGGGCAGGACACCCACCTGGCCCGTGGGCTCCAGCGCCTTCCGCAGGGCGTCCAGCCTGGACGGGGCCACCCGGTGGTGGAGGTGGATTAGGAGCCTCAGCACGTGTCGCTGCACGTTCTCCTTCCTGGGAGAGGCCACAGTGGCGCTGTGGGGGGCCCAGAGACACACCCCCCACCTGCCCGGGGGCGCCACGACGCGCCCTGAGCCCTGGAGGGTGCAGGCGGAGGGTGGGCACCTGGGCGAGGCCGTGAGGAGGAAGCCATCGAAGAGGCTCCTGCAGAAGTCCTCCAGCGCAAACTCGTCGGCCAACAGCGCCAGGTTCCCCATGAGCAGGTGCAGGAAGATGTCCCCAAACGCCAGGTCGCCGAAGGTCTCCACTGCAGACACAGCGGGTGTCAGCCCTGCTCGCCACGCCGCCCCCGCCTCTGGCTGGGAGGCCGGGGGAGGCCGCAGGGCGGCAAGGCCCCCGGGGACGGGGTGCCCGGTCTCCCTGCGAGCCGGAACCGAGGCCTGCACAGCGAGGAGGAAGGGGCGGGGGCGGCTTTGGATTGAGGGGACCGGAGGAGAGAGAGAAGCTGAGCGGAGCAGAAACGAGAGAAGGAGCAGAAGTGCCACAGCCCGGCCCCGTGAGTCCCGCCAGGCCACTGCCTACACGGTTCTAGAAAAAAGACAACCAAAGGGTATATTTTCGCTTTTTGAAGCCACGGACTGCAAAAACTGACAGAGCAGGCAAAGGTAACCTCCGACGTATCTCACTGAGAGCCAGGGGCAGCGCCCGGCGAACCCGGCCAACGACCCTGCTGGAGGCCAGCAGGTCACCGGTGGAAGACACACAGGGACGCAAGGGTCACGGGAGCCGCTAGAGACCCTTGTCTGCGGCCCGGGCGCTATCCGAGCCCACGGCGCTCCTGAACACCACGGGGAGTCCTGGGCACCGTCACCGCGGCGGGCTGTGCTCCCGCCACGTGGGCTAGAGCCCCGGCTGGCCTCACGGCCATGGGCAGTTTCCAGGGCACTGGGGCAAGGGCACAGCCGCCAGCAAAGTCCTGAATGGGAAACAAATGCCCTGGTTCCAACCACGCCCGCAGAAGCCTCCAGGTGTGGGGCCACGTGAGAAGCAGCCAGGGACACGAGAGTGAAGGTGAGACGCCTGTTTGAATCCGGACTTGAGCAAACCGGCCACAGAAAAGTGTCACCTGACAGCAAGAGGGACGTGGCCACTACCAGGACCAGGACCCGGATGGGACCCCAGCTCCCTTCTCTCGTACAGACACCTGTCAAGTCCTCCGCGGGCTTCCGTCCCGGCCACCACCGCCGTGCAGGCAGGCGAGAGGCACCGGGCCTCTCCACGCTGTGCTCTGACTTGTGAGGTCGTCAAAACCCACACGATAAAAAGCTACAAAATAAACAGACGGGGGGCGCCTGGGTGGCTTAGTCGGTTGGGCGTCCGACTTTCACTCAGGTCATGATCTCGCGGTTCATGGGTTCGGGCCCCGCGTCGGGCTCTGTGCTGACTGCCAGCTCAGAGCCTGGAGCCTGTTTCAGTCTGTTACTCCCTCTCTCTCTGACCCTCCCCTGCTCACGCTGTCTCTCTCTCTCCTAGAAATAAAAATATAAAATAAAAAAAATTTTTTAAAAAAATAAACAGACGGAATTTCTAAAGTGGACCTCAGTTCTCCCGAGCACCCACAAGCGGCGGGAGAGAAGAAGCGGACCCCCCGGCACACAGGGAAGGTGCGCGTCCCAGCGCCCGGGCCGCCGCGCGCTCCTGACGCAGCAGGAAGCCCCTCTTCTAGCCGACGGATCAGACACTAGAAAGAGACAAGGGTACTGAAGGGAACTGAACCATGAGACAAGCTGCCTCCTGGAGTCCAGGCTCCGGCCCCCAGGCCCTGCGACCTTCACGCGGCAGCCTCTACGCCCCAGACGGGGCCGCCGGCAGCCTCCGGGCCTCTGCGAGCAGGGGCCGGCCAGGTGCTCCACTCGGGCCCCTTGCTCTACTTCCGACCACGGAGCCGCCGGCTCGCTGGCCTCATGCAGCCGGAGACCGTCGGGTGGGCTCTCTCACTCGTCTGCGGACTCGAGGAGCCCCACCTCACCCCCCATTAGGACCCAGTTATGGGAGCTCTTCCACCTCAGTGAAAAGGAAACTTTCACAAACAGGGACGATGGCGGGGGGCGGGGGGGTCTGTGAAACTACCAAGCTGAGCTGCCCCCACCCCCGCACCAGAACAACCTCGAGGAGACAGAGAAGTGAGACGGTGGGTTCCTCCCTCCTCCCCGAGCCAGGACTGGGCAGGAGCCCTGGGGCCGGCACCGGCACGTGTCTGCACGCTCACCCAGTCCGGCCCCCACACGGGCGCGCGCCCGCACACTCACCCGGCC